CCCGGAATATCCATCATGAAAACAATAATACTTGGGCCTTGTTAGTCTTTTAAACCATTTGGTCAATGAAGGGAAGGGGAAAATGATCCTTTTTGGTGGATGTATTTACACGTCGATAGTCTATACACATTCGCCATCCCGTGACAATCCTTGTAGGAATGAGCTCACCTCTCTCATTCTCTACAACGGTCATGCATCTTTTCTTTGGGATAACATGGACCAAGAAAACCCATCTAGAGCTAGAGATAAGTAATATGATTCATGTATCCAACAGCTTAGTGATCTCCTTTTTAACTAACACCCCCATTTGAGGGTGTAGCTTCTTTTGCCTTTCAAAGCTAGGTGAGGCGCCCTCCTCAAGAGTTATATGGTGTGTAAATAAAGCTGAGATTATACCTTTGAGGTCATCAATTGTATAACCCAAGCACCTTAGTGCCTTCTGAAAACACCACATAACTCTTGATATTGACTCTAACTAAAGGAGGAGCTAACAATAACAGGAAAAGTAGAATTGGGGGCTAAGAATTCATACCTAAGGTGTGATGGTAAAGGTTTGAGCTCTACCATTGGAACACCTTTACCTTCCTTAGTTGATGCCGCTTGCAATGAGTCTTGACTTGAGATTCCCATGCAAATATGATCATCACTCTCTTCCATGCTCTCATTAATGACACTCTCAAAGAATTCCATTTCCTTGCCATGCTCACCTATCTTTTTCGTATTTAACAAAACACACTCAAGTGGATCATTAGAGGTGAGAAAGTGCTCATGCATGTTATTCACAATACAATCTAAGATTTCAACTCTAATGCAATTTTCAAGTGAAGAAGAAGGATATTTCATGCTTTCATTCAAATCAAATTCAATGATTTCTTCTCCAACTTCTTAGCACTTTTAACATCAATAATGGCACCCGAGGTAGCAAGAAAAGGTCTACCAAGTATGATAGGAATATTGGCATCCTCATGAATTTCAAGAACCACATAATCAACCGAAATCACAAACTTCCCTACCCTCAAAGGAACATCCTCTACCTTACCTTTTGGAAACTTAAATGATCTGTTGGCTAGTTGCAAAGTAATGTTGGTAGGAAAAAGTTCCCAAGCTCAAGTCTTTGATAAACCGAATATGGCGTAAGGCTAATCCTAGCTCTTAAGTGACACAAAGCATTGCATCTTATAGATATCATTAGGGATATAAAAGTTTTTGGGGTCCTTCAATTTCGACAACATCTTGTTAATAATTTTTGTAGTACAATTCTCGGTCAAGCTAACCGTTTTAGCCACATCACAAGTTATTTTTCCACTCAAGATATCCTTAAGGAATTTCGCATAATTTGGAATTTGGTCAATGACATCAGTAAACGGACGAGTAAGATGAAGTTGCCTGAGCATCTCTACGAATTTGCCAAATTGTTCATCTTATTGTGCCTATTCAAATTTTGGGGATATGGAAGCTTTGGTTTGTTAACTTCTCTTACTTTCTCTTTTTCTTTTTCAATTGGTTTTTCACCTACATCCTCACTCAAAGAGCTTTTTCCTTCCTCATCTTCAACCAAAACTTCCTTAGGACTCTACTTAGCCTCACTCTTCATAGGCACTCCATCCTCACGAATCCTATCACTCCTTGTCACTATGGCATTTATTGGTCTCTTAGGATCTAAACCTTGTGATGGTACAGAAGAAGGGCTAGCATGCTCTTTCAAAACATTGGCCAATTGAGAAATTTGATTCTCTAACATTTTACTATGAGCCATCATGTCATTAAATTACTTGTCACTAGATGATATGTAAGTGTTCAGCATCTTGATTTTATTTTCAATGTCATCCTCCAAACTACCTCTAGAAGAAGATGGTTGGGCATAAGAGCTATCACTTGAGCCTTGAGCCTTTGATGTAAAACCGGGTGCGGGACCCCTTTGATTGTTATTTTGAAAATTGCCCCGATTTTGGTTACTCCAATTGCGCCGACCTTGATTTTTACCATTTTTGTTGCGATTACCATAATATTGATTATGGTTCCTATATCCTTGGCTTTAGTTTTGACCATTTTTACCACCTTGGTGGTTATAGTTGGCTCGAAAACCTTGGTTTCCTTGGTTTCTATAACCCCTATTATGGTTATAATTATCAAAATTCCCATTATGATAGTTCCTATTCCCATTATTCCTTTGAATATCAAATCTAGGTCCAACATTTTTATTAGACACATAATTCACATGTTCATTCTCATTGCCAACATAGTCATCACATCCATCAAATTAAAAGAAGAATTAGGATAATTAGAAGCATCATGATCATATGAATCACATATATTACAAAGCATATAGCTACTTGACATGTTGCTAGAAGAAGGAAGGGGATTAGGGTAAGGAAATGAACCTCTCCCCTTATTTTGGGAGGGAAGAATAGGTGCTTGAGATGAATAACTCTCAAGTTTGGCTTTGATGGAGGTCATTACCTTCCCTAATTCCGAAATTTGTGAGGAAAAGTTATTGATAGCATTGATGTGATCAACCGAGTACACCAAAGTACCGCTTTTGCTAGCTGTTTCACGCTCATTATCTTGCCAATCCGTATAATGCCTCACCACGTCTTCAATGATATCCACCACTTCCTCTTCCGTCTTGTTCATTATTAGTCCTCTAGCTCTCGCATCAAGGCAAGGTTTTCCTCGAGGTCTTAGACCGCCATAGAAGATATGGATGACTTGATAGGTAGGAATCTCATGGTATGGGAACTCTCTTTGGTATTCTTTATAGCTCTCCCATGCCTTCTAAAGACTTTCATTGGGTTTTTGCTTGAAGCATTGAATAAGAGCTCTTGCTTAGGCCGTTTTCTTTTGAGAATGGAATCGAGATAAAAACTCTTTTGTCACCTCATCCCATGTCCTCAAGGAGTTTGGTTTCACCTCCTTGTCCAACCACTCCAATGCACGTCCAATGAGAGAAAAAGGGAATAGCTTAAGGCGAATAAACTCTTGAGAAACCCCACTCACTTTGACAGTGTTGCAATACTTCTCAAATTCCTTAAGATGGTTGAGGGGACTGTCATGCTTTGCACCACTAAATTAAAGCCTTTCTATCAAGGTGATCATTGCCGGTCTAATCTCAAAGTCATTTTCCGGTGTCGTAGGTGGAGCAATCCCACTCTCACACCTATAGGCTCAAGGAAGTCCCAACTCATTTAATGTCACTCTTTGGTTATCTCCCATGATGACTTACCCTTCTTCTTGCCTTGGAGAATGTCTAGCAACTCTCAACTTTGTTATTGTCCTTTCAATTTCCAGATCGAAGGGAAATAGAGAACGAATATAAGATCTATGCATATAATCTCAAAGAAATGGTTAGTAGCACGGCTACAAATGTAGCCAAAAAGAAAGAAAATCTTTGTTATTATCCTTTCATTTTCCAAAAGGCGTGTTGCACAAAGTGAGAACAATTGTCCATTCACTAATGACTACTCTTGGAACCCCATATCGGGGAAATATGATCTTCTTAAACATATTTAATACAACCTTGTGGTCATTTGTAGGCGAGACAATAAATTTAACCCATTTCGACACATAATTAACCGCTAAGAAAATGTATTGGTTGCCATAAAAAGAGGGAAAATGACTCATAAATTCAATACTCCAAATGTCAAAGATCTCAAGCTCAAGAACAAAATGTTGAGGCATTTCGTTTCTCTTACATATATTCCTCTTTGTTTGACAATGGTCACAAGTCTTAATGAAATCCCAATTGTCTTTCACATTCATTACTTTTCAATAAAGTACTACCGCCTCCTTTTCTCTCGTCCATCCTCTCTATCCTCTATTTTATTTAGAAATAAGACTATTTTCGACCCTTTTTCTTTGATTTAATTAATTTTTTATTTTTTATTTTTTTGTTTTGTTTTGGTTTGCTTTGTTCTTTCCATTTATGAGAGTCTGTCCTAGTTTTTATGGCTTTCCTAATATTCAGGGATTTTAATTCTCATCTATGGATGAGAATTTTGTGTTTAGGGTTCTAATTATAATTGGGAAGACAATTTGGATTAATATGGATTTAGGGTTTGACATCAACTCTATGATCAAAACATCATCGGATATTGCGAAGGTCTTTACTTGAAAAGATGCAAAAACATCGAAAATAACTGCTCGCGTCAAGCTTGAAGCGGTGGAGTATGAGCTATGTCAAATATGGAAATTAGTTATGATTTTGACTGTAAAAGTAATGATAATTTCTCAAAATTTGTGGTTTACAAATCCTTATTACTTCGTATTATTGTAGATGTCGTATGGTTATTTATTAACGATATTATTTCTTTCCGTCAATTTTACTTTACATTTTTTTTAATAATTTAACTCTTATTTTATTTATAAAAATTAAGTAATCTAAAATTATGTATATCAATCAAAAGTGTAAGATTTTATAAAACACGAAGCGAAATCACAACTAACCTAATTGAAATTAAACCAATGACCCGAATTGACACTAACCACATAATGAAATTTTAAGAATTCTGCAACAACAATCCACATGGCCACAGACGTCATAATGCAATATCCTTATTTTCCAAGTTCACCTAGTAAAATAAAATAAAAAAACATTAATCTGATCCTCCTTGCCAAAAACAGACATCATTAGATAAACTTAGAGAGAGTGGGAACCAGTGGCGGACCCAGGAATTTCCGACTGGTGAGTCACAATTGATAACCAAATATGTAAAAAGAAAAAATTTACCGAAATTCCCAAGAAAAATTATTTACAAAGATCATCCAAATAGAAAATTGACAAGATTACAGTACTAACTAATAATTAACAAGCTTAAAATTGACAAGACTAAAATTAACAAACTAATAATTAACAAGCTAATAATTGACAACATGACAAGCTTAGCTCTCTAATAATTAACAAACTAATAATTGACAAGATTAAAATTTGTACAAGCATTAGGTTCACATTTCATCAAAAACCCAACAACATTAACAAAAGGTTCAAAGTTAGTATTTTTTTTTTAAAAAAAAAACTTAAAAAATAATTTTTTTTTTTTTTTTTTTAAAAACTTAAAAAATATTTTGGGCCCTGGTGAGTCATTTGACCCACCAGGCATAAGGCCAAGTCCGCCAATGGTGGGAACCCAACAGTTACAACTGCCACTACCATCATCTTCATCTTCAACTTGTTCAACTAGACTTTCTTCCATTTTATCTCACCACTACGATTGCCGTAGCACCACCACCTCACTGCTTTTCAACCGCAGCAGCACCAACACCAACACCATTCTCTCTCTTTCCCTCAACCATGTCAACCACCGTCGTTCAATTCAGCACGGCCGTGTTGGTATGGATGACTCGGCTATTCCGGCTACCACTACCGCTTTCGAGGATCACGAAGACGATGTAGAACCCGAACCTACTCCTGAGGATCTCGAATACATTAGCCAAATTAAAAGAGTAATTCTATCTTCTCTGTTTGTAGTATGTCTTGATGTTTGATTTTATTGGATTATGAATTTTGATTTTATTGGATCATTCTTGTTTAGGTTTTGGAGCTTCTCAGGAAAAACAGGGACATGTTTTTGGAGAGGTACATAATATATAATTTTGCTTAATTTTTTGCACTACTCTAAGAATTGTTTTTTTTTAATTCTTTGTAAATAGAAGATTAACCCGCATTTATAATGCATAAAATTCTGTATTTTTAGCGGAACAAAGTTGATTGATATTATAGGAACTAGGAAGTATATGGACTTTGGGAAAAAAAAGTGTGTTCCATGAAGGCTTTAATTGATCTAGTGAAACATGTTCAGTGGATATGGGTTTACATGGATTATAAACACGATAGTCTATCAATCAATCAAAACCTTAATTCCATAAGAGGGTTGGCTACTTAGATCATCCTCCTCCATCCCTTACGATCCAATGCCTCATCCTAATCCTAATCCTCATTCTCATGCACATCCGCATACTTCATGTCCTTCCTAATTCCTACCAACCAAGTCATTTTAGGAAACTCAGGCATTTATTATTAGGGAATTTTGGGGGTGGGGGTGTATTTGGATTACTTTGAGAGAATATAGCTGATTTATCTAAGTTTAGTGATGGGGACTGAGTGGCAATGTGAGTGTTAATACTAAAACTTATGTAATCATTCAAGACTTTACATGGAAACTTATGAAATTCAAGGGTTCCATCTTATTTGACTGGCTATAATAAACTATGAACTGCAGTTATAGTTATAGACTTTGGTGATGGGTCTTGTCGGCTGTTAGAACCCATGTGTTGTTGGCTGCCAAGGCTTCAAGCTCTTTGTTCATAGCATCTATCCACTTTAAATGCTGTGCTGCTTCAAAATAAGTAGCTGGTTCTATCACACTTGAAATATGAGCAATGAATGCCTTGAAGGGAATAAGAAAATCATTATAGGAAACAAAATTACACCAACGAGAGGTTGCAGAATCAACTGCACACACATAATCAATCATCCAGGCTGGTTTGGCCAAGGGGTTTTTGTTTGAGGTATATTTGAGGTATTAGGATCAGGATGAGGTATTATTTGTGTATCCGGGTTAATTTGAGGGTTTTGTGTTTGGTCTGAAGTTGTTTGGTCAGGGAACATGACAAAAATATCAGGCAAATTAGGATCAAAAGTAAAAGTGAAAGTTGTATCAGCAGGAAGAAAAATTGAGTCTGGCTTGTTTGTGTTGTTTGAGAAATGGAATGGAAAATGTTTGTCATGAAAAGTAACATCCCTAGAAACAATCATTGCATTAGTTTCTAAGTTCAGAAGCTTATAAGCCTTTTGTCCAATCCCAGCATTACACAAAGTGTTGCCCTGGAATCAAATTTGTCCTGCTATTCTTGAGAGTAGCAGCATAACACAAGCATCCAAAAACTTTTAAATGCTCAATGCTAGCTGCAACTCCATGAATTTTCTCATAAGGTATGACATAACCAATAGCTCTTGCTGTTTTTAAAGGATGTCTATGCTTCCTCTCCACAACTCCATTTTGCTGTGGAGTATCTACACAACTTCTCATATACTGACAACATTCTTCCCTCACATAATTCCCTTGCATTATCAGTTCTCAAACACTTAACATACACACCAAATTAAGTGTGAATAAAAGTAATCAAAAACTCCAAAATATCAACACAATTAGACTTATTTTTCATTAGAAATGTCCAAGTATGTCTTCGAGATATCATCTACAACAGTCAAAAAATAAGAATAACCATCATGAGTTCTTATTTTGTAAGGACATGTAAGAGATCAAAACATTTGACACTCTTAACACTATCCTTTGGAAAAGACTTCCTAACTTGTCTAGCTTTTAGACATATTTGACAAATGCTTTCATTACAAGTTGTATTTGAGAACTTAGAAATCTATATGACTCATTTTATTGAAAGGAAAATGACCTAATCTCAAATGCAGCAACTTCTCTTCATCTCCTACAGCCAAATTTGCTGAAGGAATTATTCTTAGTCTTCTTCAAGTCACTATCTAATATTGAGTTCAAATTACCAAGAACTAGAGAAGCGTTATGGGAGTGATCCTGAATCAAATACTTATCATGTGTAAAAACAATACCACAGCACATATCTCTACAAATCCTATGCGTGGTTATCAAATTAAAGTGCAAATCGGGTAATGCACCACATTCTTAAGCACTATACCATTGTCAAATTTTAGAGTGCATATATGCTTGACTTCTACTTTCTTTCCATTAGCCACAGTAATTGTACTTGGAAATTTATCAAACACATCATATGAATCAAATAAACTCAAAGTTTGAGCATATATGACCAGTTGCTCCACTTTCTATTATCCACTTAGAATTGAGGCAAGTAATTAAGCAATTACTATTGGGCATTCCATTGAACTACTAAGTGCTTATCTTGCTGAATAAGACTGACTAGCTTCTCATACTGCTCTTTAGTGAAGTAGTTGGTGCATTCCTCTTCATCTTGACTTTCACCACAAGTGACAGCTGCAACTCTCTTGGCTTTGTTTTTGTTGAAGCCTCCCTTAGCAGGATAACCATGTAACTTCCAGTACTTATCTATGTTGTGAAACTTGTGATTATTCAGCTTGTAATGATCACAAAATAGAGGTGCTCGATGATGAAGGGTCTGCTGTAATTACTTCTTCTCTCTTCTGCAGCTGCAAATGCCATGCTGCTAGATTGCCTGGTAACAGTAATGTGTTTCTGCCTTTCATCTTGAATAAGCAAACTATATGCAACAGACATAGAAGGCAATGGATTTATCATCAAGATGTTTGTTCGAACTTCGGCATGTTTAGGATCAAGTTTCATAAGAAATTGGATCAATCTTTCATCCTGCTGGACTTCTGTGTCAAATTGCAGGTGCATCTTGAACAACTGCAGACAGGATTTGGCTTTGCAGCACTAATCTGTTCCCAAATTCCTTTGATTTTTGTAAAGAACTCAGCAATTGAAGAAGATCCTTACTCTATCTGATTCAAGGTCCAGAAATCACGGAATACCTGTCTTCAAGATCCTTCCGGATCTCACAAGTAGTGGAGAAGAAAATAACACTCTTAGCAAGAGTATTATCCAGAGATCTCAGTATGTATGATATTATCATGTTATTGCATCTGTTCCAAGCATTGTACATTGGATCTGATTCTCCTGGATTCTGCAAGCTTCCATCTACGAAAGCCATCTTGTTCTTCATTGAGAGAGCCGAAATCATACCTCTCTTCCAATCCTGATAAGTCTCACCATTGAATTTCTCAAAAACGAGTGAAACAGCTGGATTTTCACTTGGATGAATGTAGTAAACTGATCCAGGATCTTGAGTTGGATTCTGATTAATTGAATTAGTATCTTGTGCTGCCATTGTTATCAAGAATTTATGCTTGAAAAATTTGATTTCAGCAAAGAATTTATATGAGAAATTGCTTCTGATTACAAAAATTGAACTTGAAAAATGAAAATCGAATGACCTGATACCAGAATTGTTGTATTATTTGAAGAATTTGCGGAAAAATCAGCAGATCTTCTGCTCTGATACCATGTTAAGATTCTAAAATTTAGGGTTAAATAATTTCTAGAGAGAGAAACAAGAGTTTGTTTTATTGATTTTAGAAAATAATTTGATTGATTACAAAGATTTACGGCAATGTTGCTATTTATACAAGAGTTCTAACAGAATTCTTACAAGGAGAAATCTTGAGAAAATATCTTGTAACAACCTTATAACAAACTCTAACAAACTTGTAGCAGAAAATAGAAGCTTCTAGATTATTCCAGATGTTTCCAGCTAATCATCACAGCCATTTAGCTTCTGTCCTGTGCCAGCTTATGAGGGTATGCGGGTATGCTGTAGTGTCATCTTGAGCCAAATCAAACGTGCTGTGCTCTGTAGGAATAGAATCGGAAACCTTGTCAGCATGATCATCAATACCAACCAAAGAGGTCCCTAAGGAACTAGTGATACGCAAGAAGTTTACACTCAAATGGGACAATTTCAATTGGTGTATAAATGATTTTTCTAACATTGGCTATTGACCCACCCCAAAGTTTTCAGCGTTAGTGGGGAATTCTTTGGTGCTGAGGTAGTGGTTTGTCCCCAGAACACATCAGCTTCTTTAAATCTTTGGTGGAGAATATCTTTCTTTTTTTTTTTTGAAATTTGTTTTAGATGAATGCTTCCCTAGTTTGGATGTGCTTATAAGGAACATTACATTTTAAGATTGTATTTGCACCCTTTTAAACATTCTTTCTAACTACAATAATGTTTCACTCCTACCATACAATACGTGATATAGACAGAAATGTCTTTAATCTCAATAGCAAATTATGTGTGGATTGATTTTTTTTTGGAAAAATGAAAAAGAAAAATCCAAACTTTTAACTTTTTCCTTATAAAAATCCAACCTTTTGATTATTCCTCAAAAATTCAACCTTTATACCCCTCATTTTCCAACAGATCCATTTGACCTTTTACATGTTTAAAAGGTTAAATTTTTTTTTTAAAAAAATTTATTTTATCACTTTCCTTTATCACTCCTCCTCTTTCTCTCTCCTCTCTCCTAAAAACGGAAAACACCACATAAGCTACGCCGGCGCCACCAATTTCGCCACCACACAACAACCTACCTTGCAGCCCCTGCTCGCCTCCCCACCTAGCCACCTCTATTGTACTTCCGGCAAGCATCCACCAAAAAAACCCACGAGTTTTGCCCAGAAAATTTAAAGACCACGAAACAAATTGAACCAATCTCTCTGTTTTTGAACCCACGATTTCCGGCGAGAACTAATTTGTGCTCAATTTGGAAGTGGGTTTTGTGGGTTCGTAGGAGGTGGTGGTTTTTGTGGGATTTCGTGGGTGTGTAGGTGGTGGTTTTTATGGCTTTTGTGGGTTCGTGGTAGGTGGTGGTTTTTGTGGGATTTCGTGGGTTTGGTGGTTGTTTGGTTATTGTGGCTGGCGAAGTAGTGATTACGGGTGGCGAATGGGAGCTGCAAATGACGGTTGAGGTTGGTGGTAATGGTGGACATTTGGTGTTGTGGGCTGTGAGTGGCTTGTGCGGGTGTGTATGGGTGGGTTGTGATTGTAGGTGGCGAGGGGAATGAGGTTGCTGGGTTTCGGTGGCTGGTGGACAGTGGGGTGTGGGGTTGTAGGGTTTTCCGGTGGGCGGCAGAGATAGGGTGGTCAGGGAACGAGGAGGGTGGGGTTTGGTTTTTCTGAATTTTTTTTTAAAATATAATTATTTTTGTTTTTTAATAATTAAAAAACTAATTGACCAATTAATGGCCGACACGTAGCATATGACTTACAAAAATCGGTCATCAACAGGTAATGGATCTATTGGAGAAAGAGGGGTATAAAGGTTGGATTTTTGAGGAATAATCAAAAGGTTGGATTTTTGTAAGGAAAAAGTTAAAAGGTTGGATTTTTCTTTTCCATTTTTTCTTTTTTTTTTTTTTTTTTTTTTTTTTTTTTTTTTAAAAAACCTTTTTGGCTAAGTATTATCCTTGCATCTCCTTTGAGAAAAATCTTTGAGCCTTAATGAGCTTGACGCCACTTAAAATAAGAATGTACAATCATTTATCGAAGTAATTATAATCATCAATGTATAGTTTTAACTATATTTATGTTTGTTTACTATTTTACAAATTTGGTCCAAATCTGGCTTACAATTAGCTTTTAATATATATATGTTGGTTTACTATTTTAACAATTTGGTGCAAATCTGGCTTACGATTAGCTTGTAGAAATAGTGCTTCTCAACTAGTCAGGTTGTTAGGTGCAAATTGATATATATATATATATATATATATATATATATTTTTTATATATATATATTATATATATATATATATATATATATATATATATATTTTTATTTTTTTTTTTTAATAAATGCGAACTATAATTTTTACTAGAACTATATAGAATACGACGACAACATTTGTATTGTTGAATAATTTGTAGCTGGTCTATAATGAATGGTACATTAGGAGCTAACTACATATCTATGACTGGACAGTGAGCTAGAATTTTAGTACATGTCATGAATATATGAGAATCTATGAGGTATATGTCCTATATATATATATATATATATATATATATATATATGTATATATATATATTTATTTATTTTTATATAGGCTATAGCTATTAGGTACATATTGTATTGTAAAGCTATAATGGTTTTATTCATAACACAAATCTTTGATACAGGGTTTGCACATGATACACTGTACTCTTTCCCATCCCCTATGCTTATGATTAATCATCTGTAACGGTCCCCTTTTTTTTTTTTTTTTTATGATAATTATTAATCATCTGTTCTGGGGTAAGCTGTGATAATATTTTCCTTCTGTTTGTTTCTTCCAGAAGTGGTTGTGGAGCTTTGATTGTGATCCCTTTTCTTCCAGACTTTAGCTTTCTTATTGATAAGGTGGTTCAGCGTTTGTCGTCCTTTGCTTCTCTGGGCTTATCTGCGGCTGCAAAGTTGGTCATCATAAATTCAGTACTAGTCGCTTCGTTCAATCATGTTCTCTCCGTGTTTCAAGTTCCTTCTTCGATCTGTTCGAAGGTCGATAATCTGTTAGCTCGTTTCTGGTGGAAGTCCGATTCTCATTCTCGGGGTCTAGCCTTAAGATCCAAATCTCTTTTACACCTCCCTAAGGGTATGGGTGGTCTGGGCATTCGAAGTCTAAATTCTTTTAACTCTGTTCTTCTGGCCCGTCAGAGTTGGCGCATTCATCATCACCCTCAGCTTCTGGTATCTCGGCTTTTATCTGCCAAGTATCCGGCTCTTCGTCTTAATCAAGCTACACGGATTCCCGGTTCTTCCTGGGGCTGTCAGGGCTTGTTGAAAGGCTTTTCTGTTCTGTCCAATGGTATAGCCTGGAAGGTGGGTTCTGGTTCTCAAGTACGTTTGACGAAAGACTCTTGGGTTCCAGGGGACCCTATTTCTTTTCGTGACAATATTGGGATGTCTCATCCATCTCATGTTTCCTCTATTATTAATCCGCGTTCTTACGCGTGGGACACTTCTAAGATCCGTCAGTTGTTTGATTCTTCGACAGCCTCTCGTATTTTAGCTCTGGAACATCCTAGTAGACCAATGGATGATTTTGTGTACTGGAAGTTTTCTAAAGATGGTCGATTCTCAACCAAGTCAGCCTACGCAATGGTGGTTTCTGGTCAACACTATTCTGGTGTTGTCTATTCCTTTTCTCCTTCATGGTGGAAAGTGTTTTGGGGTTTACCCCTCCTACCAAAGTTGCAATGCTTTTGTTGGAAGTTCCTTCAAAACGCGTTGCCTCTTAATGAGGTTTTGCGATCAAGGGGAGTTCTGGTGGATCCTACTTGTGTCTTCTGTCTTAGCGCTCCAGAGACTTCAGATCATCTTTTTCGAGATTGCTCCTTTGTTTCAGCTATCTGGTCCTCCATTCCAAGGTTTTCAACGCTCATTGTTCGTCAAGATATATCGATCTTGGATTGTTTTGTGAATTTGGTTTTGTTTTTGAGACAGTCGAAATCATGGGAGACGATGGTTTACTTGATTTCCTTCTTCTAGGCGGTTTGGATTGCTCGTAATCATAAGATTTTCCGACAAGCTGTTCTTTCTCCGGCCTTGGTTTGTCATCTCATGCAGGACTGGGCTTCTTGAACCTTTGCAGCACAGGATTATAATGTTTCACTTCGGTCTCCTGGCGTTGGCATCGTTTGGGTTCAAGGTCTTCTGTCCCGTCCTGTTATGTTTGTGGTCCCTCCGACGCAACCTTGGATATATGTCTAGTAATTGATGGAGCATTTGAAGCACGGGATAATGTTGCGGGAGCTGGTTGGATTTTCCGTTCTCTTGATTCGGATATGGTGGTTGGGGGTGGTTCTCATGCCTTCCTTTCTTCCTCGGCTTTTCATTCAGAATTGCAAGCTTGTTTGTGGGCTCTCAGGGCTACTGAATCGTCGGGGTTTTAGAAGGTTGCTAATTTATACTGATTGTTCGGCTTTGTTTACCATCCTACGGGGACAAGTTGGTCAAGATATTTCTTGCTTATGGTTGATTCAGGATATAGGAGAGGTTGTTCATAGGCTAGCTGCTTGTGAAGTCCGGAAGGTTCCGCGTCAATGGGTTGCACCAGCTCATTGGTTGGCGGTTCAAGCTCGTCGTCGTCATTTGCTTTATTGGTCCTTTTAGTTTCTTGTTTTTTGTTTTGTCTTCTTTCTTAGCTCGTCTTGTCAAAAAAAAAAAAAAAAAAAAAAAAAAACACATATTTACACTAAAGCAATATCACAAAGCTAAACGACATCAAACACCAATGAAGATAACTGACGATAACCGTCAGAAACAAACCAGACCCAAATCGCGCCTTGCCGGGCGACGGAAGCCCGATCAGGCGGTTAACCTTCATCATCAGTCATCAGCCTCGCGCCCGATCGGGCAGCACCACCCTCACCGGTCGGCAGAGAGGGCAGAACAATGGCAGCCTTAATTCTATAAACCGAGTGCTGCTCTTTCTTCACCATTTATATTTTTGTCCTTTTTACCAAGGTTCTTGCTTTAATAATCTTATTTAATTAATTCACAACACCATTACCTAAGTGAATTTATTAATTAACATGAATTTTGTCTACCATTCTCAAAATTATTCAACAATATGTTCATTCCATTTTTTCTTGACAGCAATCAATTTATTTATTTTTAAATAACATATCCCCACCATGAATCTCACTTTCATATATATATGCCAATCCACTTGCAAAATTTTGGTCGAAGACTAACAATCTTTGCCTAAGGGGCAAACAATTGAAACAGATGTACTAAGAATCAGCATCTCCACTAGTTAGGCTAGTAGGAGTACATGCTGAGCTTTAGGCTTCTCTAACTGGTGTAAAAATGGGTTATAGACTTGCTATAGACTAGGAAAATCAGATGCAATGTTCTAGATACAAGAACACATATTAAGGTGAAAACTTGTGGTTGAGTGATATCTAAAAGTAACAGATACAAGAAATATAGCTTGAGGCTATAACTCTCCAATAGGGCAGCTCGAGGCGGCTTTTCTCACTACTAGACTAATCTCACAAATCTCGTAAGAGAATACTATTCTATTGCCGCTACATTATATACTAAGCATTCAGCAATACAAAAGATACCCTAATAATAAAGAGATTTGGCTTGTACTGCCATTGTGGCCTTCAAAAACTAAACACCAGTTACCACTCCTCCAACTCCAAGTGCTTCATTAATAACTTTGGCTCTCTTCCTCTTTGTGTTGCTACTAGCTACTGCTGGTACAGATCATGAACCTTTTAGCTTGTTGTTCTTTCTTCTTTCATAGACCTGAATTGGTTGTAAGGGTGGTTTGACCCAGTTCATTGTTGTTATAACTGACAAAATTTACACATAAGAGTGATGGGCATAAAATGGATGACTAAAATATACTAGTATTTAAATTGAGTACAAAGGCTTAATCTTCTTTTACTGCCATTTCATGGTGATCGTAATTAGATTGGAAGGTGTTTGACGAAGCTGATGCCTGACCATGCAGGTTATCCCAGCATTCGAGGAAGCTGTCTTAGGCATGTCATTGGGTGGAATTAGAAGGTATTCAGTTTTTGGCAAAGGATAGGTACTTTTTCCGGTATCACAATTGTTGTGACAAGAAAGTTAGCTTTGAAGTATATACTAAAGTTGAACTCCTACTAACATCTTATTTGAATAAAAAAAAAAAGAGAAATATGGTGATACAGAAAGAGTACCTATCCTTTGTTACTAAGGAAAATTCGGCCGAACATTTAGATCTGCATTTTTAACTAATGTAGACTGATATAGCCATTTTCTGCTCATTGGGTTTCTCTACTTTGCAATACTTTCAAGAGTGGAATTTTGTAAGTTGACAAAGGGCAGTTGGATTTCTTGGATGGTGCAGGGTTATAGTGCCTCCAGAACTGGGATACCCTGACAACGACTACAACAAGAAGGGACCTAAGCCAACAACATTCTCGGTATGTAGGATATGTCAACGATTTCATTTCGTTGTTCATTCTAATCTCAGTGTTACTGACGAAGTTATTTCCACAGGGGCAAAGGGCATTGGATTTTGTGCTGAGGAACCAGGGACTTATAGATAAGACTCTGTTGTTTGATATTGAGCTCCTTAAAATCGTATCAAATTGAAAGTTGCTGCTCTCGCTGATTGTTGAACACTATTTAGTGTTTATAGGTTAGTCATTACTAATTTGTTTGCACATGTTGTTTGAAATTATATTATTCTTGAGACTTTCGGTGTTACTTGAATTGCAGCCAAAGGTTTGCCCGTTGTAGTTTTGAGGTACCGAAATATGGAATGGCAAAGGAGTGTGGTTCCTGCTGATGTCGCCTGAAGGCTAATGCTTATGATGTTTCCTTCTATAGTGATATTGTTTTTCATTTAATTTATCTTGCGTTTTTTTAAAAAAAAAAATTTATTTTATCCTCTTTTGCATAGATGGACATTTGTAACTTCTCAGCATTTTTTCCATAGAAGAACTAAATGCAATTCTACCATTTCAATTGTGTTGCTTTATAATCAAAATGATGAGAATAAATTAATGAACATTTAATGACATCTTCCGTTCCATTAGTGCACTTTCTAAATAAAAAATTTATTTTAGCATTTGTTGTAGAATTTTTTATACTACCTCCGTTTTTTTTATTATGTGCAACAAAGGGGTATTATTTGTAAGACATAAAATATTCCTTTGTTACACATAATAAGAAACAGAGGTAATACAATTTCCCTACCTTATAAAAAGTAGAAAACTACTCTTATGAATAGTGTAATACCAATTATACCCTTCAAAATGTGTATTTACATACATACCCTCATTAATATCCCTACCTTATAAAAAGTAGAAAACTACTCTTATGAATAGTGTAATACCAATTATACCCTTCAAAATGTGTATTTACATACATACCCTCATTAATATCCCTACCTTATAAAAAGTAGAAAACTACTTTTATGAATAGTGTAATGCCAATTATACCCTTTAAAATGTGTATTTACATACATACCCTCATTAATATGTACAAGCTACTTTTAATGATTAGTGTTTAGACAACTATACCCTCTAAAATATTTATTTACTTTTATGCTTTCATTAATGTTAATTATCTTGAACATTTATACTACCCACATAGTTGTTTATATATTTTCTCTTATAGTTAATTTAACTAAATTTGTGATTTAAAAGCCAAACAAAAAAAAACCTTCTAGATATAACTAGCTATGACGCGCGCATCGCTCGCGTTTGCTGTCCTAGTTTAATAAACATTAAAAATACTTTGTACTAAGAAACTTTCTTTATGAGGGTAGTTCATAAAAAGTTATATTTGTTATTATGAAAATAAAGAGAAACAGAGAATATAATAGAGAGAGACGTTGATAGTAATTCTTTTGTTGTCTTCTCATTTCATTAGCCATACTATATATATATATGATGAACATAATGTAACCTTCACGGAAAATTAAGATTTCATTTAAGTGGGGGTTTCAATAGAGGTAATGGCATATGGGGGGCATGGGAGTTACAATGGGGGGCATAATACTAGGGATTTACAAGCAATAATGAACATCCACAATGAATATATTTTGTAACAGTCTCTCTTGGATGGACATTATTACAATAGATTTAATGAGCTTATATGTTGTCTCATTAAAAACTTTTTAGGAAAAATCCCTTGGGAAAAAACCATGGATAAAGGGAAAAGAGTGCAGCACGCAGTTACTCCCCCTCATTATTATATCACTAGAGATCTTTGAGATGACACAATTCAATATGATAAACTAGCCTTTTAAATGTTGCAGTTGAAAGAGCCTTAATAAATAAGTTTGCTAAGTTCTCACATGAACAAAGCTTCATAACATTTATATCTCCAATTTTCTCAAGATGTGCTTTATTCTATCACCTTTGATGTATCCTTTCTTAAGTTGAGAAATACAAGTTGCAGTATCTTCATATAGAGTTGTCAGTGCCTTTTTCCCGGATGATAAACTACAAACTTCTTTTACATGTTGAATTACCGACCTTCACCATGCACATTCACAATTAGCCTCGTGAGTTGCTAAAATCTTATAATGATATATGGAAGAAGTAGCTGCAATGGTTTGTTTCATGGAACGCCAAGAAATGGCAATACCACCATTAAAGCTGTCAATTCGGGTAAACAGGTCGGGTTTGGGTTAGGTAAAAGTTGGTCGGGTAAACTCGGGTCATTGCCGTAATTTATGCGGGTCAGGTTCGGGTTGGGTCGTGCTTGAGTCGGGTCACGTCGGGTCTTACATCTTATCGGGTTTAAGTCAGGTTTAGGTCGGGTTACATTCGGGTCGGGTGAATAATAGGTCTAGTTTGGTTCGGGATTTCACGGGTTAAAACAGGTTAGGGTAATTCTCGGGTTTGGTTCAAGCCAATAATTTACGGGTTAGAATCACGTAGGGTCATTCTCGGGTTTGAGTCGGGTTCGGTTCAAGTCTATAATTTGCGGGTTATGATCTGGTTGTGTCATTTCCAAATTAGGTCATGTTCGGGCTAAGGTCTCAAATATTGGGTTAATTTGGATTTCGAGTTGATTTTAGGTCGAGTTATCTTGGGTTCGAGTACATTTTTTGGGTCGGTTTGTTAAAAGCCTTTTAACAGATCTAGTTCGGGTCACCGCTTTCTCAAGTCCAAACAAGTCAAGTCATGACCGGGATCATGTAAATTATTCGGGTCTGATTATCATCAGGTCATTTTCATATACTCATGCTCGCATTCAATCATTATCACGTTCAATTTAATCATTATCCGAAATTATTATTTATTTTATTTTTTTAATCTGAAATTGTAATTAATTATTTTTTATATAAATGCAATATAAGATAAAACAGACAAGCCTTAGGTCCAATAGTATTCACAAACCGTAATTGACTACATTTAGAATGCACATGAACCTACAAAGTAGTAGTATTCGTAAACTGTAATTGCTTAATTGAAATATAGAATGAACTTGTACCTAAAAAGTAGCAGTATTTGTAAATCTTAATTACTAAATTTAAATAAAGAATGTACATGCATCCGAAAATTAAAGTAGTAGTATTTATAAATTTTTATCATTTAGATTGAGGAAAAATGAAGAAAAAAAATAATCCTCTGAAAGATTGAGGGAATATCTTCCTTCCTTATCATTAAGAAAATAAATGCACTGTACAATGTACATGCCTTTGTAAATCTTTATAGGCTAAACTCTAACTAAATATAAATAGATACTTTATAATTATCATTTTTTATCAAGCTTAGTATTTTCTTTGATTATATAGAAATATATATGACAACATACTAGGGAACTATAGTCTATAATTTATGAAGATAATTATCTCCTTTGACCATACAACAAATATATACTATATTTAACTCTTAAATTTGGGGATGATGCTTCTTTCTTTTGCTGACCTGGATAACCTAGGTCTCCCTAGACAAAACGCTTTGATCAATAATAATAAGGCGGTCTAAATTGAATTTAAGGTGATTTGAAATCAGGCCAGGAACAATTTGGGTTGAATTTAGGATAGGTTAATAGCATGTCGTGTTGATTTCAGGTCGGGTTAGTAACAGATCGGGTTGAATTTTTGGTTAGGCTAGTAATAGGTCGGGTAAAATTAGGGTCGAGTCAATAACAAGTCGGATTGAATTTGGGTCGTCCCCTAGCCTTCGGAATAGCTTAGCATCGACCTTAGAACTCCCTCCTTCCCTTGGGATTCGACCTAGACTTATCCTATACCTCGGGTTGGTTTAGCTTTATAAATATTATTTTGGGCGGGAAATCTAGTCCCCAACGACCTAGGTTTATCGCTCGTCACATGGAGCTTCTTATCAACTCTTTGACCCAAAACACTTCCAATAGATGTATCACTAGCCTCACACATCAATTCAAAAGGTAAATCCCATCACGGGGCTTGGACTATAGGGGTGGAAGTCAAGGCTTTCTTTAATTTGTTGAATGCTTCCAAACATCTATCATCAAACACAAACTCAACATCCTTTTGAAGAAGATCATTGAGGGGCTTATCAATTAGAGAGAAATCCTTGATGAATCTCCTATAGAACCCGACGCGCCCCATGAAAGATCTCACACCTTTCACATTAACCAGAGGTGGAAGCTTTTCAATGACCCCAATCTTTGCTTGGTCCACCTCACTTCCCTTGTGAGAGATCTTATAACCAAGGACGATGCCTTCCTCAACCATGAAGTGACACTTCTCCTAATTCAAAACTAGATTCACTTTCTCATATCCAGCCAAAAACTTTTTGAGATTCTCAAGACAAGCCTCAAATTAAACACCTCCCATCAAAAAATCATCCATAAACACTTCCATTTCTTCTTCCAACATATCTCCAAAAATGCTCATCATGCACCGTTGGAAGGTTGCGGGGGCATTATAAATCCCAAATGACATTCTCCTGTAGGAAAAAGTTCCATATGGGCAAGTAAAAGTTGTTTTCTCTTACTCATCTGGGTGAATAGCAATTTGAAAGAAAGTAGAGTAGCCATCAAGAAAACAATAATATTTGTGTCTTGTTAGTCTCTCAAGAATTTGATCAATGAAGGGAAGGGGGAAATGATCCTTTTTAGTGGATGTGTTTAGACGTCGATAATCTATACATATCCTCCATCCCGTGACCGTTCTTGTAGGAATGAGCTCACCTCTCTCATTCTCTACAACGGTCATGCCTCGTTTCTTTAGGACAACGTGGACCGGAGAAACCCAACATGAGCTAGAGATGGGGAATATGATTCTCGCATCCAATAGCTTGGTGGTTTCCTTCTTGACCACCTCCTCCATTTGAGGGTGGAGCTTTCATTGTCTTTAAATGCTAAGTGAGGCATTATCCTCAAGAGTGATGTGTGACAGGCTAAAGTCGTATCACCTAATCAAAAGTAATTTCTAAAACCACTAACTAAAATAGATAGGGAATTAGGGTCGAATCCACAGGGAAACGAGTCTTTTTATTCCTAATTATTTAATATAATCTAGATTATAGAGTAACAAATTATTATTATCGAAGGGAAATTAAACTACTAAGAGTAAAAGTGGAAAAGAATAAAAGTAGGAGGAGAAACAATGAATAAAAGACCTAGGGCATAGGTTCACCAATAAATAATATTTCAGGGTAAAACATAATAATCAATCATCAATGCATCAATTAATCAAATCATAAAGGGCTTTTGCTACGTATTACAATCACATAATTAATCTACCGGTATTAAATCTCATCTCTCGAATCTCGACTTAACCATTTATAAATTAACCTACCTATTGAAACTAGACCTAAACATCAATTCTCATCTCTCGAA